ACGCCATCACCTACAGTCGCGATATTGTTTTAGGTTGTGCGTGGGCGCCGTCGGTCAGCCCGCTTTTAAAACTGACCTTTCAAGTTCCCACGTCCGGAATTCTTCAGGTAGTAACTCACAGTGTTTTCTCATGGTGAGAACAAACGAGCAACTAAATGAAACCAAATCACACGACAGGAATACAAATAATGAATATGAATGAATTTAGATGAATGTGAGTGAAGGCGAGAAAAGAGGAAGGGAGGAACAAGAGGCTTTTATTCGATGCAGCCAAATCTGTGCAGGGTTTAGATTCGCAGATCGCACAGTGGCTATGAATCAGAAATATTGGTCCCGTTTATACAGAACAATAAAAGCGGCAGTTAATAACCACTGTATATGTTACGTTGTCTAAATTTGTGATAAATCAGAAAGATATTACTTAACAAGATCGTGAACCTGCCCAGACATTCAGTGCCAGCTCTTCGTATCTGACAGTTTTTTACATCTCGGTGCTACAGACGCATTTAGATTGTTACTAAAAATATGACATCACACACTCTTGTATCTACATTTTGTCAGTGTCATCGCAGCTTCTCTCGTAGTCTACAGGATCAGGACAGACTGGAGAGCGGCTGAGATCCTCTGGTGTTTTAACAGTGATTATAAAGCAGACAACTGTAAAGGTTCATTGTTCCTTAAGGCTTCATAATTCTCTCCCCGTGTCTCTCTGCCTTACCTCATCTTTTAAGTGAAAATATCTGGCACACTGTGGTGGGTGGATGCAGAGTCTGGCTGTTAGGAGTAAATCTATTTTGAAAGGAGAGACACCCAGAGTCCCATTAAAAACAGCAGCACTCCTTTAACTCTCTCTTGCTCTCTTTTTCCTAGATTTCTTTTGCTCCTTAGCCTCCATATGTAAGGAATTTATAACTGTAATTACGTGTCCTTAATAACATGTTTGCCCCCCCCCAGCTCATCAACCTGCTTGCATGCTCTCCCTGCCAACTGCACTTGCCAAAGCCTGCTGTACATGTTTGATGTTGTCTGTTAGATCCCTGTGTATTGTTCTCTCCTCCGTCTCGCTGATGTGTTTTGGGTCGGCGTTGTTGTTGTGTCTGCCGCGTCGACAGAGGTGTCTCCTGTTCCCCCCGCTAGACAGACATGTACTTTGTTGTTTGGCCTGCCGCCTCCTGTCTGCATCGCGCTGCGTTGCATTGTGGGAATGCTAACTAACTGCTCTCTTCCGAGCTAAGGCGGCGGGCTGCCAGGTTGTGATGAGTCTGGCTGCAGTCAAGCTTTCTTTAGCTGTATCTGTTTTGGGGTTTTTTTTCACTTTTTTTTTAACTTTGTGGGAGTCTCCCCTCCCGCTGCGATCTCCTGAGGTTTTCAGAGGTCTGGTCTGGGCTGAGTGGAGCATTTATGCACCTTGTGTTTCCTCCATTTCTCCCCTCTGGCTCATTAAAGTCTAAATTCCACCGACAGCTTTGAAGTGTGTTGAATGTGTTTGTGTGTGTGTTTTTTTTGTTTTTTTTTTTTTCTTTTATTGTACATGGTGATATTCGCACTTGTTGCGCCTGCAGAGCAGATGTTTTTGAGGAACAATGCTTTGCTCAGGAGTTTTCATGCGAGGACAATTTGAAGCTTTAATGCTGTGCGTGTACAAGGGGAAGATGCATTTCAGAGCCGCTCTCTCTCTCTCTCTCTCTGTGTCTCCACTTCCATACAAACCTCCCAACGATTTGGTGCGATACGATCCCACCACCTGCTGCTCTTCAAGCCAGCGCTTCACAGCCCCTGGGACGCGAGGAGGACAAAGACAGATAAATTGACTGTAGTGTGCAATCTTCCTGTCAAAGCAAAGTGAAAAAAGAGCACTGCTGCTTTTAATCTGGCTGTTGAGCCCCGCAGTAGTATTCTCTCCGTCGCTTTTCAAAAGCCCCATTGAAGTGGTGCCTGCCTGCCTTGCTCGGAGGGAGGTTGCCGGTTCCCAACCAGGTGTTTATCTCTCTTTTCTTCTCTTCTCTTCTCTTCTCTTCTCTTCTCTTCTCTTCTCTTCTCTTCTCTTCTCTTCTCCCGCACACTTCACTGGGATTAATCCAGCGTATATTTAAGCAGAGGATAAAACAGAAACTGCTGTTTTAGCACTGTCCTGTCTCACCCTGAAAATATGAAGTACCTTGAACATTATTATTACTGTCATGTTTGCCTGTAACCTGTCTCATAATCCAGCCCTCAAGTCTGCCGAGGTGCGTCGTGGAGTCTTGCTAAATGTTTCAAACAAACCAAATTAATCCACTTGTAAAGCTTAGGTATGATTGTGGTAAAAAAAAGGAATATTGCTCATGATTTATTACTGGTCTGAGGGAATCTGAGGACTTTGTCTTCAAGTGTTGAGTCATCTGTCAAACACAATTTCGCACGACGGCGAATCATGGCTGCAGCCAAAAGACTCGCCGGTCACTTTACGGTCAGCAAACGTGGGGGAAAGGCAGGGGGGAGCAGTCCCTCTCTCTACCAGCCTGTTTCCCCTCATTTCCCCTTCTCCCCGCCTTCTTCGGTTCCAGTCCGCGGTGGACATTCTCGACGACATCAGTTCTCGTGGAATCTGAAACACGTCGCACGTTTCCCCCCCGAAAGCCTTTGTGTCTCACGTTTGTATAAACAGAATCTGTAGCGTGTGTAAAGGGGCTTTCGTGCCAGCCAGGAAGTTAACATTGGCAACAGCTGGCATCCCAAAAACAATACACGTGTGTGGTCTCTATCGGGGTTACTCCAGTTCACAGAGGCAGTTCATTGTGATGCTCCTCCTCTTATCACGACAGGCCTGTGAAAGTGGATCGAGTGTTTTTTTGGGTTTTTTTTTTTTTTTTTTTGTTCCTTGCTGCCAACAACGGGATGCCAGTTGTTCGCCAGTGGAACTTGCTGTCATCAGACGGGCAGGCAGCTTTCAACATTTAAATGTTTGAGAAGAAATGTCGCACAACAAGTGAAAAGCTCCAGAGATATGCAGTTCTAGGACAGTGTTGGTACACAGAGTCAGGGGACAAGCCGCTCCACAGACTCTGAGCTTGTTGTCAGACTCTGCAGCATCCACAAAGCAAGACACTGTTGTTGCACTCAAATAGACAGGACGCGGTCCTGTGTGATAGATAACTCAAATAAATGTCTCTCTTTTATCAGTGTGTGTGTGCGGAAACTGCATTTCTGAGTTCTTTGCTAAATTGCATTTGCGTCCATATTTGTATTTAGCAAAATAATTCACACACAAACACGATTAACTCTTGTGTTAAGTCTTAACTCTCAAAGAAATAGTGTTAAGCTAAGCTCTCAGATGTGACCTCTTTCTGTAGTGATTTGATTTCCAGTTCCAAAAATTTCAGTAATTTTCAGTTCAGAAGACAGGAAGAAATTAGATTTCCAACGGGAAGCATCAATCACACTTTGCGCTCTGTATTTAAGATGGTTTGTACCTCATTTAATTTGCAGTTGAATTTGGAAACGGCAGATGCCCGACAAAGAACAAGAACTGTTTGTAATGTCACATGCTTTAGATTTTTGCATCCGCGTTGTGTCTCTAAGCAGCATTGACCGCTATTTTGGACACAGTCTTCGCTCTTGTCTTTTCCGTCTCTTCCTAATGAACTCTTTTTGTACCCTGTGGTTGGATAACACCAACTCCAATTAGACTGAAGAGCTTTGGGGGGGTGGTGGTGGTGGTGGTGGTGGGGGGTGGGGGGTCATACTTGCAGTGGAAATTACTTTCAGATTGTGCATTTACTTCTGTTTGTCAAATTTATTTCAGCCCAGAACATGGGAGTGAAACAAGTGTTGGAATTGCAATGAAAAACAAAATCACAAGTGGTGCTATAGGCTGCTTGAGGCTTTGTTGGCACTTCCTGAGTCATTACATTGAATTTTAAGGCTTTTGGAGTGTTTAATGTTTCAGTGTTTAATTCCCTGCGCTGGGTTTTGAAAGATTGCATAGTATCTGATGAATACACGGCGGACTGAGGGAGGCGAGCTGATTTGTCTGACTTGAGTGTGATCTTGGAAAGGTGTCAACATGCATCCTCCATCTATCTGTCTGGTCTGTGATCCATCTGTGATTGTTGGCCTATTTGTGTCATGCATCCCCAAGGCTCCTTTTTTATGTTCATGTGATGAAGCTGCAACAACGGTCCAAAACCAACAGCGGATAAAAAGTCAAATGAAAATCGGAGATAAGTCGTTGCTGCTCTACCACATGGCCAAAGTCTCAGGTAGCCGAAACATCGTAGCTTGAATTTTTACCTCTGCTCCAACGTCACGTTTGTGCTCTTATGGGTTAAAATTGAACCTGTGTTTAATGGAGACCTGAGGTGTTGGACTTGGCCTACATAACACTGTTTTACATTTCCTGGCACATCAGACAGAATTCCATCTGTCACCACACACACACACACAGACACACACACACACACAGTCACACACAGTCACACATGTAGAAGACACTATATCTCTAATCTGATGCAACTCGCTCTCACATCTGACAGGGTGCATTTTCTAGGTTCCAGCTCTCTCTCTCTCTGTCTCTCTCTCTCTCTCTCTCTCTCTCTCTCTCTCTCACACACACAATGACTCAAACATCCCTGTCCCCTTCACCCCTTCATCCCTCCGTTCTCCTCCTCCTCCTATCTTTTCTTCAGAGGCCAAATTGTTGGCTTGTCTGGTGGAAATTCATACCAAAAGATTCAAACACGAAACTGAATATTTGTGGAGTGTGTCACCCACAGATTGGTCTTTGGGGGGCAAGTCACGAACGTGATTGTAAAACTTGAACAACTTAGGGGAAGCCACGACACAAAGAAGCGCTGTACTCAAACTCCAACGCCAAGTGCGACTGCAATGACCCTGCAATGTAACATTTTAAATGAAAGAAATCCCCCATTAGAAATGCTAATTGCCAGTATGTGATACAGATTGCATCTGACTTGTGTAACTGATCTTTTTTTTTTCATCCTCTCCTTGTCTCTCTGCAGTGCCCGGAAACTTGGGCTGCTTCAAAGACAGCGGGGACCCGCCCACCCTGTCGGGAACCAGTGAGACCTCCAACAAACTCACCATCCAAAACTGTATCAGCTTCTGCAGGAAGCAGAGATACAAGGTGAGGTTTGAAATTGAAGTCGAAGTGTATGAAATAATAATAAAACCTTTCACCCAAGAGATGTTCAGCGTTATATTTACCTCAGATTTAAGATGGCAGTTTCTGTAGGAGAAAACATTCAAGTCTTTAAATGTAGTGTCTGTGTGTCCTCAGATGTTCAAGTTTCTCTTCTCATTCGATGAAAAATCGTCCAGTCAATTGCCCGTGTCATTTCAAACACGGACATGAGCTGGCTCTCGCAACAGTCGAGCTTTTATGTAAATGATCTCCGTTTACGGGCAGTTTCCTGACAATTATCACCACGATGCCAAGAGCGGTCTATACCCTCTTTATTCAGCCATCAAACTCCATGTTTCAAACCAACCAGCGGATGACAAATCATCACGGCAATCAAGGCTGACAGCTGGAAATGAACGGTTATTAGCCCGGTGGGCACCTCCTCTTCAGTTTCTCACTCATCTCTGTATCTGGCATGCCATTGTCGCAGCTATAAACCGTGCCAGGTGTTCATTTTCAGTCTCGGCAGATCCGGCTCAGCTCCGTCTGCATTGACAGGTACTGACAGCCCGCCCCTCCCCCACTCTCCTCTCAATTCAGCAGATGTTATAGGATGCGGTGGCGGATTGGCATCGTCTGCCTGTACCCTTGGATCGTCACTGGCCTTAATGCGCATGTGAAACGTCAGCGCTTGGAAGTATGGATCCCGTGTGACTTTTTGACAAAGAGCATGTCTAATGAGCGAGACAGCAAATCCATCCCTTGTTTGCTCCACCAGAAAGTATTCACATTGGTGTTCTCCAGCATTACTTCATCAGATAGAATAATGCAACAAGGACATAGCTTGATGCATCTCGGCGAGAGCGGAGGCGCCATAAATTCCTATTCCATGAGAAAAAGACTCGGAGTGGGAAATGATGCAGTACCTTCAGTAGTGTGAATTCATTTAGGGGCCTGAAAATTGGACAATGGCGTTCTTTTTGAACGAAGGACAATAGTTCTTTTGAGAACAAGCAGCCAGTTGGTGGTGGCGAGGTCGAAACGCGTGAAGGTTTTTCACGTTGCACATTCCTGCTTCGACGCTTTTGGGAACAGTTTACTAACAGTTCTGACTTGAAAGATGGATAGGTGCTATTTCTGTAAGGTTTACTCTCTGCACCCTGTGTGCAGCTGTGTGTTTGAAGGGAGGCCTCTAATCAGCTGAGAGGTTGTGGTTATCCAGACTCAGATTACAGCATCTTGTAATCATGAGAGAAAGAGCAATTAGGGCACTTTAGACTCAAGTCACTTTAATTTCAAAGAGAGAAGGAGCTATGTGTATTGAACTGTTTACTAGGCCTAAGTGTTAACACAGTTTCACATAAAGCTCATATCAGAAACACAACCTAATCAGGTATAATTATATGGACAAAGTAGCCATTTTGGATATTTTTAAAGAAGAGAGAAAAACTCAACTTTTCAAGTTTCCTCCACAAAACATGTTCCCTCAGCGTTTTGCTGATGCAATGATTTGCATAACTCCTATTGTGTTTTCGCAGCTTGCTGGTATGGAGTCAGGATATGCCTGTTTCTGTGGCAACGAGGTGGACCTGCGCGACCACGGCGAGTCCCCTAGCATGGAGTGTAACCACGTTTGCTTCGGCGACCACACCCAGCCCTGCGGCGGAGACGGCTGGGTCATCATCTTCGACAGTGAGTGTCACTCTCGGTCTGACTCTGGGCTGATTCTGGGCCGTGATTTGAACAAACAAATTTTAATCTTAAGGTTTCTAAAGTAATAAGACATAATGCACTTTTACAAATACACCTGTAACCACCTCTTATGAGCTGGAAACAGGTCTGTCCCTGCTTTCGCCGTGGTAACGCCTCCCATCAAATATAGTTTGTCTCCAGAAGACACAGGAGTACATTTCTTTCCTCTAACACATTTCTATGTTGAGATAACATTTGGTCAGCCACTGGTGTGATGCAAAAGATTGCTGCCAGCCCGCTGTGACCAAAGAGACAGTCTATAATGTGGATCGGTCACGCCGCGGCTCACACCAGTTTTATTCAATAAAGTCGGTATGAGAGACGGGATCAGATCGGTGCATCTCCATTCAGTGGCATGAAATCATGTAACGTGATACCAGTGATCTGTTAATAGACTGAGCATTATTCACAACCCCAACAAAACATCACTGACCATTTTCTCCTCTTTTTTTGTGCTCCCTCCTCCAGCCCGAGTAGGGGCCTGCGGTGGGAACTACACCTCGCCATCAGGAGTGATCTACTCCCCCGACTTCCCCGACAAGTACGGTGCCGGCCGCGTTTGTTACTGGACCGTCCAGGTCCCCGGATCCTCCTCCATCCTCTTCAACTTCACCTTCTTTGACATCTCCGATCAGACAGACATGGTGGAGCTGCTGGACGGCTACACCAACCAGGTGGTGGCGCGCTTCGACTGGCGCAGCCCGCCGCGGGAGCTGGTGAACGTCACGGGCGACTTTGTCATTCTCTACTTCTACTCAGACCGCACCAACCAGGCCCAGGGATTCGCTCTGCTTTACCAAGGTAGGAAAACACCTGCTTTTTCTGGCATTTCTTGTGCATTGGAAGAAGAATGGTTTGGTGAAAGCCCACGACAGTGTATCACTCAGTATCCCTTCTCAGTTGAAGCAACCCATCCGAAGCACAGAACCCCCTCAAGCCCGCCGCGCCTGCCACATTAGCACGATGGGGTGTGAGCTGGGTTGCTGCCTCCGTACTGAAGGTTTTCAGAGCGGTGCGAGGCAGTTGTCACGTCATTGGCAGACCCTTTTCTCTTTTCATTTGCTAGTCAATGTCTCACAGCCCTGCCTGATACTGCATATTTAAATAATGTTTTGTTTTTCTACGAACTCACTCTCTTATCAAGCTGCGGCAGACTGCTTTGCTTCTCAGGAGTGTGTTCCTTGGTGAATTTCAGAGCAGGAGTTTTTATACCACCTACATACAAAACAGTGTGATAATATACTTTGCATCGAGCCTTCTGATATCCTGATTTCACTACAGAGCAGAAAGTTGAAGAGCTAGCAGCGAATAATTTTACCTCTCCAGACTAATGAGGAAAATGTGTAAAGACTGGCATGGGGAAAAATTAAAAGCAGTCCTCTGTTGTTTTCTCTCACAGTGATGCCTCTGTGTGAATATTCTGAATGCACTGAAAATGATTTAATTCTCTTAATTTTCTGGAGACATTAGCCTGATATAAGTCTGTGTAGGTGACATTCAAGCTCACGGAGAGAGGCAATCTGTCGCCACTCCTCCCTCCCTCCCTCTCTGCCTCCATTTGTAATCCTGTGTCATTCTTCTTGCCCGCTGGTGTTACAGTAAAAACAATATCAGAAGGTCCGAAATCCTCTGACCTCTGGACAGGCGCAATCCTTTCTGCTCACGTCTCAGTTCTTGTGAGGCGTCATGTAGCCAAGAAATGGAATGAGTGAGAAAAGGTCACCTCCGGAAGAAACAGGTTTCTATACAGAGAGATATAGAGAGAAAAAATGTGACGACATTCAGGCTGAGCGTTGTAAACTGCTAAATACATCTAATATGTCCTTGGTGGCAGGATGAGCAGTGGAAAGAGAGTGTTTCAGCTGACGTTCAGCTGGGTTTGAAGTATGTTGTTTGCAAAAGAAATGGGGAACATGTGGGAAGTTCTGGGAACATCACAGTCAGGTTGAGCTATTATGTGAAAAGAAACATCAAAACCACCATTCATGGAAGAGTGGAACAGGCCTGGAGCAAATAGTATTTTGGAAGTAGCTCTGGCTGTTTGATTTAAACACAGGATGGATGGAATTTTACCTTTTAGTTTGGAGTCTAGCATGTGAGTTAATCATAAAGGATCTTACCACTAGGAGTCCTCCTTGATGGCGCTGAAAGCTCCTTGCTAAGTTTCATCTTAAGAACTGTTCACAAAGCTGCTGAGAGCAACTTGTACTAATGAACTGAGAAAACTCCTAATAGATACTGTATATAGATAGGCAAAGTAAAATATTGACCTCAAATAGATTGTATTGGGCATCAAACAGCATGTTGACACTGGTAGTCTTTGGACAAATGTTCACGCTCTGGTGGGGTAATTCTACATCAGACTGTACATAAGGATGGACGTAGCCTCCGTGACGTCACCCATAGGTTTCTGAAAAGAGGTCGGGAAGCTCAGAGCGGGCTGCCCCGCCGTCGCTATCCTCCGCCTATCTCCCGGCTAATACAAAAGAAGCGGGGCCTGTGTGGGGCCAAGGCTGCCGTGCATGTTTTGTGGCAAGCATACGCTCGCCCATTTATCACTCGAAGCAGCCACGCGCTCAGTTATGCAGAACATCATCATCAGTTGTCATGAAGGAGGAAATAAGCTATAGAGACCAAAACTGTGTTTTGTACCAGGCTGTTTATTTCTGCTGTAAAGTTGGGCATCTTCACATGGGAGTCTGTGTGGTTTGACTCACTGTTGGAGGCAGCCTCAAGTGGCCATTAGAGGAACTGCAGTTTTGGGCCCCTCTGTGTCAGCTTCGTTTGTCAGCTGCTTGTTCCACATACACTGCCAGTTTTTCTGGGGAAATCCAACGATGGCCATAAAATCTGCTCTTATTTATTTATTTATTGCAGTAGGTCATTATTTAATGTACAGTCATTGAACTGTCAGACAAATTAGTCTGAAAAGACATATTCTTGGTTTGATGAATAATTCTGACGACTGAGATATTCCAAGTGTTTGTGTCTTTCCGTGTCCAAGTGAGCAGGTCCTGGTGAATTAGAAGTCCTTTCGACTAGTTCTAACTTCCCTCACATTTAGGGGATGGTTTTAACGCTAAACGGCTTCTGGCAAACTATTGTCTAGACAAAAATCATAGGCATCTTAAAGTTGATCAACTGAACGAGACACGTGACTTGTTTGAGGGGAAAAAAGAAAAACATGATGTGGCACTGATAGATAGATGCTTGCTGTGATGATTGTCTTCACTAAACCTTAGTGCAAATGAAGATGTAAGAAAAACACTGGCAGAGTGAAGTCAGACGCACAAATATCAGCGTGAGACATTCCACACTTTGTCTCTCAGAAGCAGCATTTCAGAAGTTGGAGAAGAAAATTCTCAAAATCACAGTGATTTTAAATAAATCACATCTATGTTTAGGAGAAGTAAATGAAAGGCAGAGGAGAACTTATTTAGGATATTGCTTTCCTCTGGGAACACATAAATGAGTTGAAATAGTCCATGCTCTCTGGCACTGTTGTTTTATGAAACAAACTCTGCCCATCTGGTGCTGTAAGCAGGTTAAAACAAACAGAATTTATTGCAAACACTTCTTGAATCATGTCTGGAGCGGACAGAAAAGCTCTCAGCACCACAAGTTTACAACATGCTTGAGTGTTTTTGCAGAGCCAATCTGTTTCTCCGCAAATGCAGTTAGTATTAAATAGTCACTCGTGACTCCGCTGTATATACTTTCAACAGCATGATCAACATGATATATCCTATGATTGTGCGCTTGCTCCAACAGCCCTGTTTACCCTCAGGAATGATTAAAGGGGCTTTAAGTGATCTATGTCCTCGATTTGTAGAAATTACAACAACATGGCAGAGCTTTTCCTCCTCTGTGTCTCTGGCACAGGATGCACCACTCAGCCCTCCGCTCCCTGAGAGCTATGAAAGCCTATGATACATAGAAATAATCACATTTTGAGGAGGTGATGTGTCACATTGCAGAGAACTGAAATAGTATTCTGATCAGGGCTTGGCAATATGGCTGGAGTAAAGTAATATCAACAACATTAATAATGAAATTGAAGCTCTAACTTTACTTCCAAGACTGAGAAAGGACTTGTACATTGCAAAGCCTGTGAGCAGAGACAGGTGGGTGACCAAAGCCAACCAAAGCCACTTCAGCTGCTTTAATTCTGTTAGAGGGAGCGAAAGCAATCACACACTTGTTCCATCAGACTGCAGCATTTCGGGAAGTGTGTACTCAACACACAACTACACGGTTTTGGTATTTGTGACGGCCCCTGTGGGTCAGGCTTAAAATGCTTCAGTGGAACTGTTCCACAACACGCTTGAAGATATGTACCCAGCTGTATGATGAATGGACAAATCATTGATGAGTTTTGGCCGTTTCCCTGCTTGAGAAGTTTCAAGGTCGATAACTTCAAAACTAAATAAGATATCAGTAAACATTACACAACCTTTGATACGCTTGGTCCAAGGATGATCCACAGAAAATTTGGTAGCAATGTTTTTTTTCAAAAAAAGTCAAAATGGTTGAAAATCCATCATGGCTTTTATGGCCAATCGGGCTCGTGGTGTCAGGGGGCGTGGCCTTTCCAAAATGGCATTTTGGGCCTTAATTTCAGCGTCACCATTTGATGGATTGGGCTCATATTTCTTGGGAAGCACTTTAACATCATTTCCAGTTATGGGGCGAAGTAATTCCAGCTCACAGCAGAAAAATAAGACTAAACCGACACAAAAAAATAGGGTTCTGCCTCTTCAGGGATTGAACTGTAATGATATGTTTACTTGAATATTGAAAATCACGGGCGGTTTGCCTTTCCTATCTTCCCTAAACTTACCACCACCCTTTTCCTGCTGTTATAACCGGTACTGCTCTGCATAATCATATGCAAATGATGTAAAGCTATGCAAAGATGGAGGTAGATGTGATGGTGCTGGGCAACAGTGTTGTTTATTTTGTAGTAACTGACATGTTAGGGGCGTAAGGAACAATGGTACAGCATTCTTCACAGGTGTTGGGTCATGAAGTACCTGACCTGATGAGGGTCATGGGGTCAGCAAAGTCATAACTCACCCTAAGGGTAAATGTATGTACCAAATTTCATGGAAATCCATCCATTAGTTGTTGAGATATATGAATTTCAAAGTCATGGATCGACTAACAGACTGACTTTGCCATGACTAGCATGATTAAGAAAGCAAGTGATTTTGTTCATTTTTAGTTAAATATTACTTTGGATCATAAATTTAAACAGCAGCGTTTTTACTTATCTATACAGTCAATATATTATCAGTATTATGGAGTTATTGCCCCACTCAACATTAATCCTACAACTCTGTAACTGTCGTAATATCCTGCTATTTACCACTGAAGTTGAAATATCACCTGGTTGCTCAAGCACAGTATCATCATCTGTCACTGAGCAGTGGAAAATGCCATTGCACTGTATGTATGTGTGTCCACATGTGTTTGGGAGGGGTTGGGGTTTTTTGGAAATGCCACTGGCCCGAGATAATTTTGCTTCAAAACAGAGCCAGAAATCTCAGCACCTGACAAATAATGTTTGGGTCACTGGCACTGATCAGCAACAAAGGTCTATTTGTGCTATAGGGCAGAAAACGTAATGGTTTTAAAGTTCAGCAGAATTCTGGTTTAATCTAACGTCTGCACCTTAAGCAACAACATTCATCTGTCTATGAACCTGTGTTAATGAGCTCTTATTCTTTTTTTCCCCAGCACTGAGGAGCCAAGACACCCGAACAATGGAGGCTGAAGGAGACGACGAGGATGAAGGAGAGGACGTCTCCAGCACGGCGGGGCCCCAAGTGGGTGCCGGCGTCACCGAGCGATCCAACAGCACCTCCAACGGACGTTCCTCCCAGATCCTTTACGTGATCACGTCCAGCCCCGGTAAACCGGAGCACAACATGCCAGGTCAGTGGGCTGGACGCGGCGAGACCACCGGCCACAGCGCTAGTATGTTAACACCCACGATACACTGCACCTACTGCACCTCTCTCTCCCTCTGCTGGGATGTTTCCTGACTAGAGCTCCCATAGAACATGACCTGGTTTCTCTGAAAGTATTAAAATCATCTTAGTCTGTTGAGATGCTTCTGGAAGCTCTGGCTCACGGCAGCTTCCTGTGATCTTACATAGAAGTAATGCTGTGTGACGCTCTTGTTTTTTCCTGTCAGTGACTCATAAGTGAAGTTACTTTGGGTCTCCCTGCTGATCACAATCAGGCCTCTTGTCAAAGCTACGCAGGGTGGACTGGCGTGTTCTGTTCTTTTTTACTCTCTTCAAACATTATTCTCTCCAAACTCTGAGCGCTCTGTCTCAGAGGGCTAAATGAAGTATTTCTCAACCAGAGGAGAACAGATGTGCATTGATAATGCATCACCGTTTCTTGACAATTTACTGGCTGAGCACTGCTATCAGGTGTGCCAGCAGTGCTCGAATAATTCTTCGCTCGCTAATCCTTTCAGTCTGCTTCAGTTTGTTTTCATTACCGTGTTACAATATCTGATGTCTTGTTACTGTGCTGCTCCCTCTCTGCAGTGTGGACCATCTACGCTCTGGCTGCTCTGCTCATACTGACTGTCATAGCCATGGTAGCGAAGCTGCTGCTGCACATCACAGTCAAGTAAGTATGCGAGCGTTTGCAATCAAGCAAGGATCAAATGTCAAAGCATTCATCTGTAGTATCATGTTGCATTCATGTCATTCATTGTCGTATTCTGATGCCAGAATGTTTTGTCCCAGCGCAAATTAGTGCAGTCTATGTGTTGCTTTGACGTCATTAAATAAGATTATCCTGCCAACTAGTGGTCACAACATGTTGTGTCCACTCCCTAGCTTTGTTTTTCCCCCTTGCACAATCTAATAAGGAGTTACTCTTTAATAATCGGCATGTTTTCCTGTCAGACAGTTTCTTTTTTTGATATAACTTTTTCTAATTGAGTTGCCAAAGACAGATATTTTCCAATTCTACACAGACGGGGAATTCAGAGATCCCCGCAAGGCAGTATAATTGAGTTGGGTGCCAGTTAGGCAGCGTGAAAGAATCCGAGTAAAAGAAAGTCAAGTCGAGTCAAATTTATTTCTAGGGCACATTTATCCACAGCTTGAGCTGACCAAAGTGCTCTACAAAGGACATTAAAATAAATAAAAGTAAAACCTAATGTATAGAATATGTAAAAACACAAGGAAAACAAATTGAATGTATAAGAAACAACAAGGAGCAAATAAACAATTATGAACATGACAACAGACTAAAAGGTGAGTGAGCTGTGTTTTAGTTTCCATAAGAAGATATATCTGTGGTTTTACGTACCAAAAACCTGGGTCAGAGCATGACTTGGTTCAGTCATTCTCTGAGTTCATTTTGACAGATCAAATAAAATGTGGGTGCAGGTGGGCGGGGCTTGGGGCTACTTTGTTGTGACATCACAAAGTTACAGAAGTTCTGACGGCTCGTATTAAGTCACAGTTTCTGAATACAGACTGTGCATTTGATACTTTCACAGTATTAATATAGAACCTAGACCTGCTTTGTAATCAAAAACATGGAAATCTCTCTTTGTACAATATGGGACCTTTAAAAATAGAGACGGAGGGAGCACATTTTATATCTAATGGCAACTGGTTCCATAATTTTGGAGCAGCAACAGCAAAAGCTCTGTCACTGTTTTAGTTTAGTCGTGACCGTGGGACACACAAGAGAGATGAGCTTTCAGATCTAAGAGATCTAGGAGCTGAGTGCCAGCGAATAAGGACTGTGATATGGGGAGGGGCGTGGCCATTAAGAGCCTTAAAAGAAATCAGCAAGGTCTTAAATTGAATTCTGAAGTGAAGTGAAGTCTTTTAGTGCCTGTCGACATCCTTGCAGCGGCATTCTGGAGCAACTGCAAACGAGATGATGAAGACTGGGGAATGCCTAAACACAAGGAATTACAATAGTCCAGTCGAGCTATGATAAAGTCGTGGATTACTTTCTCCATGTCCTTTCTCCTGGAAGGACAGAATCGGTTTAAGTTTGGTTCTTAATTGATAGTAACACTTGATGTGTTTATCAAGGCAGAGCTCAGAATAAAGGATGACACACAGGTTTTGTGCATGGGACTTGTCTATGCACCAACTCAAAACATCTACCTATTTGTTTGACCATTTTAGACATTGCAAACATTTTTAATGCAAGTGAAAATGAAAAAAAAAAAAGTTTATAAATCGTTCGTTTTTTTCTTGTCTTTCCGTTTTTCTCCTCCCTCTCTTCTGCAATCGGACAAACTTCCATTTGCAGAGAATATTTAAACAAGGAGGTTTTAAGTGTTTGGTTCACTGCTAGCCTGAACACATTGTAGGTCATTTAACCTTTTTTGCCAAATGTCACAATATCAGTTTGAAACTAAAGATTTAGATCCTGATCATTAATAATTGTAGGCTCAGTGTGATAAATGTCAAATCAAGTGGAAGATAATGAGCCCTATAAAAGCTTCCTATACTACTCACTGCATAATAATTGCCATTAGTTTGTGTTTCTAAGAAGGCAGGCATGGCATGAATGCAACATTTATAGGATAATGTTGCCATTATTCACTTTCCTTATTCCTTTGTTTCCCCCTTTCTTAATGTTCCACCATTGTCTCCTTTACTCCTCTCTCTCTGCCTCCTCTTTGTCTCCTCTCCTCTTCCTCTTGATTTCCCCTCACAGGTCCCCCAGCATCCCAACAGTCAGCGGTTCAGACAGCTGCAGCCAGAGCACGGCGTCCTCTGAGCCCTGGATCATCCTGTACCGGCCCTCCACCATCTCCCTCTTCAAGAAGAAGCTAAAGAACCACCACGGCGACCTCAGCCCCCTGGTGGGCAACTAGCGCCACTGCCGCGCTCTAACGTTAACCAAACGCTACCACCACCCACAGCTATTCTGTACGAGGGCCATCAGACGCCAGGCCCTCAGACAATGAAACTCTATGAGGCGCTGCGCTAACAAGCCAACAACTGAGTGGCTAATGACAACTTACTGAGTGACTGCTACTAAAATGGCCCATGGGCCGGAGTGGCCGGGCCCTCCCATCCTGCTCAGCACCAAAGAGGAGGGGGGACAGGCAGGGCTGTCAGTGAGCACAGTGTGGGAGAGGAGAGCAGAGGAATGGACGGAGGAAGATCTGCAGCTCTGACAAAGACACAAGGACGCTTTTATCACGCAAGTTTCTCCTGTTCAGCAAGGCTCCATTTCAGTCACCCGCGGATGTCCCCAAAAATCAACATACCTCTGAAAACCCTTCCAGACTGCAGGCTCACCAGTGAAAACAAAGCACAGCCTGGTGCAGAAGTTCACTGGTCTGTGTTCAGTTTAGGAAACAGGGAGGTTTACCTCTTCCTGGTGCTTCAGTCACGTTGGCAATCAAATCTTCATCAGTATCAAGGAGAGGATGAAGAAATGGAGTATGCATACTCACATGCTGTAACACTTCACAGCTTAACAGTTTTATATAACTCTGCCTCATACGGACGAGGAACACTTGCAGCCAAAAACCAGAATCCTCCCATACAAAGAGTTGTGTATTTATTTGTCTTTTTGGTTCCGTATGCAAAGTGCTAATGTTTCTTTCTGATGTGCTCTACGTGAAAACTAGCTTTCTGAGGGGAGGGGAAACGGGACGCGGAAACGTCATGTGGAAGGTAGATATCACAGCACTTTGGGGGGATGAATCACTCGCCGTAAAACAGAAAGATCAGAGGGAAAGAGAGCACGCTCGCCCACTCGCTCACTCAGTGCTCATGTGGATTTGGGTGGAGAGAATAAATGGTGGAGGGGGGTGGGGGGTGGGGGGTGTTTGGGTGGCGCAGCAGTCCGCAGACAAACTGCCATTTAGGGAGGCTTGGGAAGATCTGAGGGCTTTTTTTTTTTTTTCTGCTCGGTTGTGGGTGGGAGTCTTTCCGGTTTGATGGTGTTCAAGTGCCTTAAGGATCTCCTCTTCCCCTTGTCTCAGATTCCTCACATCTGTTTCTTTCACGAAGCGGACCGGGGTCCCTTCACTTCACACACAAGAGTCTGCACTTCCGTTAAGGGTGCATGTGCAAGAGTTTCATTCCAAAACAGGAAATTACACCAAACTTAAAATGTAACATAAAAATGACGCCACATCTTGTACAGTGATTGAAAGGATTGAATCTTAAGTCTTTTTAACCATAGTACACTCAACTGAACACCTCTGCAGACTGGATCTTTTTTTTTTTACACGTAGTAACAGACAAGGCTTTAAAGGAAAGAGTTTGTTTCTCATTTCTGTGTGTGCTCTTATGTGTGGTCTTGGACATTTACTGAACATATTGTTCACATTAAGTTGTCTTTTGATTACAGTGGGGGGGGGGTGAATATTGTTGTACCTTATGTAATTCAGTGTGGGAATGATGATATTTATGTTCCGTTTTTTTTTCATTTTGTGTCTAGTCAAAGCGTTTGAGAGACGCGTCAAAGTACTTCTTGTACTCACTCATCAACTTAGCTCAAAAGTGGAATGCATTTTTTTTCTTCCTCTCCTTAGACAGCAGTAAATTGCCTAAAATCACATGACGCTGCTAGACCCTGAAGCTTTTACCTGTCTCCTTGATTTCAGGCCAAAAGGTTGAGCGCAAACAATACACCCAGACAGAGATATAACCAAAAGCACTCACTGGTACTATGCACAAGCTGACAGCGGGTTTCCAGCTGTGACAGTTTTCTGTGCATTGCTGTGACATTTAAACTACTTCTGAAAGGTCAGAGTCTACTAGTGCGCCATTGGCATAGTAATCTGCCTTTCCTGTCGTGGGACTGAATGTTAGCGTGGGCTCCTGCAGATGGTCACCCCAAAAATCTTCTAATTACCGTCAAGATAAATACAGAAGAGGTCCGAACATCAGTGCACTTAAACTTGCTTCTACAGTACTTATTCACTTTTTCATTTGGAAAAAAAAAACTCAATTGTACTTCGTGCAGCAACCTGAGCACTTGAGACAAAAGGTCATTGTACAACATAACACGGCATCAATAGTGACATTCAAGTTACATGATTTATAGTCTTCAGACAGAATTTGAAGCCCATTAAAAGATGAAGAGCCTTTCTTTCCCAATCAGAAGTTTGTAAAATAAAAAATGGGACCATGCTATATTCTGCCTGTCCGCTCAACTGTAACTCATGTTAATTATTGCAAGACAAGAGCACATGCCCCTGGGTCTGTGATGTTCAGAGCAGACCATGCGTAGAGAGAGCGAGAAAAGAGAGCGGAGATGTGAGAGCGATGGGAAATTAATGTGCGTTCAAATCAAACACAAGCTAACCAAATCTGACAGTTTAAATCTAACAAGGGCATATTTGTTTGGATAGCCTGGTGAATTATGCAAACTCCCATTTTCTGTCCCATCCTCCAGTCAATCGGAAAATTCCACGCTATCTTCCGAGCGGTGGAAACAGTCTTTTCCCAAACTGTAGTTGATGTGAATGTCCCGTGGTGCTCGATGACGTGAAAACATCCATCAGGAGCCCTGTGGGAAATGATCTGGAGGGGCCAACACGTTGTTTCCATGAAATTGTAAATAGCAAAATAGTGAAATTTTTAATTTATACAGTAAATTATTGTTATTTTGTAAGTGAATGGGATATAATCTATCTTTTGTATAAGTGAAGTACCTTTGTAGTTTTATTTAATGTGTCCTGGTTGCAAAATAAACACTGTATGCATGTTTCTTAAGCCTGTGCTGTGCCTATTCTTTTGTTTTGCTCCTTTCTTTCTTATTTCATCATCAAACATAATATTTAGCACCCCAGTTTCTGAGAAGCATATGGGCCACAAATACCGGATCAAGCTAATCCCGTTCACTTTCTCCATTTCAAACCTTTTTTTTGTGCTTTGTGTGTGAAAATCAAAAGGTGCAATGCGATTTTCTAAAATCTGCTTGGCTTAAATAGATTCAGGCTCCAGTGTTTGCACAGTGGGACATCTGCACCCCCTTCTCCTTTTTCTTTCTGTGAAGCTAAATACTTATCAGATATGTGAAATGACTCCCAGACTGTTTGGAGATGCACACACATGGAGGGAGGATTTGGAGTGCCATGTGTAACCCATTGGCTCCCCTCTGTGATGAGGTCAAGCATGCAACCTGCACATTTTAGGGGGAACAGCAGGAGTGCAGCTTTACAACTGGAACACCATGAAGAAAACACAAACATGGAAGGACGTGTAATAAGCTGGAACACTTGGGATGTTTGCAATGATGATTTCTTAATTCATGAAAGGTGTTTCTTTCATCAAGCTCTCTGCTCTGAAACTGTTCAGCGGCTGCTTTTGTTTCTCTGCAGCAGCCTGTAACTCCAACCCTGCGACTCCACAGAGAAGCAGAAATAATCCTCTAAAATGTTTCCAATTGCTTCCATACAGGTTCCTATGGAAACACATTCAGATTGATGAGGACTCACAATTAGTCAGAAACACTGACCTGAAACTGTCGAGGTTTTCCTGAAAAATGTCTCGGCTTGTGAGGTTTCCAAGAATCCCAGATCAAGTTACCTGTGAGCCTCAGATGCTTCTGACTGAACCACATTTTACAGTAAAAAACTTAAAACTGAGCTTGTTTAATAATATGATGAAACCAGAAATCAGTGAAAACACAGAACGTTCCGGAGTTTGATTCATTATCAGAAGCAAACACATTCCAAGACACGACTAGAAACAGCAGATTGTAAATGATCCTCTTACTCCCTCTACTGGTGACATGATGTTTGAATAAATTTCCACTAACAAGCCCAGTAATGATGCCTGGCACCAATGGCATCCACTTTTTGCTTCCTATGGTAATAAATTAATCTTCTTTAGCCACAAACAACTACAAATGTTACTAAAAATTGTTGATTAGATTAAAGTAAAAATACTTAAATTCAAAATACTGTTAAGTACAAAGTCTTAGATTTCTTAGCTGAGGTTTAGTAGGACTTTTTCTCATCCATTCAACCACAGTAAGATATCAAAGTTTTGAGGCCTCCCACACACACCTCCCATCGACCCCAAATTCCTTTATCTCAATAGCAATTGTGCAGCTGTAACATTAATCCTTAACTAGACTGGAAGACTTATCACTGCTCCTCTGGGTCTCTGTGAAAAAGCACAGAGACCCCCCCCTTCTGGTCAACCTTCCCATAGCCAGGGAAAAGAGAGCGGTGTAAGCGGATCCCTCTGAACCCCAGTCGACCAGTAATTAAGGCAACAATGGGACAATACGTGGCCGTGTCTGGTTACTGTAAGAACGAGAAAGTGAGAAGAATGGAAGACAATACCTGCCACTTTCTGCACTCAGGGTACTGAAGTCAGGTACATTAGGAGAGAGTAATGGTAGGGGGAAAAAAAGAGCTGGTCTCCCATGGTGGACTTGAAAAAGAACTGTGCAAAAGAGGTTTACTATCCATGCAGGAACTTGTCTGTTTGGATTTGCCCTGCTCTGCAATATTGTCTATGACCCTGGTGCAATTAAGGCAGTCTCATGCCCTTCAGTGGTTTTTCACTACATGCATTGGCCTGTTTCATACTTTCCTTCTATTATTGTAGCTTTATGCTGCTGAAAGCTGTTTACATACACTACACTTTCAACTCTGCCTTCAGGGTAGCCGATTAGTGCTGAAAATAATCAAGAGCCATATAGATGACTGTATGTTTATCATTTAAGTCACTGATAATGCAAAAATGTTCCAAATTTACACTTTTCATCTTTTTAAATGTGAGAATTAGCTCATTGTATATTGTTGTAAAAATGAAGAGCTGATTGTTAGTAATTTTACAGTTGGTTTTCCAACCCCTAACTTCTAATATCCACATGCCAATGTCTCCTTGAGCAAGACACTAAACCTGTAACTGCTCCTCAGATTAATGTATTTTCTGACAATAAAAAGTCACAAATGAATGACCTGTATGAAATCTTTGGTTTTTGGACTGTTAATCAGAAAAAAACGACCTTCTGAGTCATCACTCTTGAAAACTTCCGCTGGGTATTTTCCCCAAATGCTTGACGTATTATGGCCTAAACAATTACTCAATTGATCAAAAAGATATTCAATGATAATACAGGCTTTCAAATGTACTGAACTGAAATCTATCAAAAATTAAGCCTGTCAAATAAAGCTGAACTAATGAAAGGCTATTTGTCATTAATTCAAACCTTACATATCATTGTATATATGTTTGTGCAATTTGCTATGAGAGCAACCCAGCCATGATATGACTCAACTACTAAACAAACAAAACAAAACAAAACAAAACAAAACAAAACAAAACAAAACAAAACAAAACAAAACAAAACATAACTAACTAACTAACTAACTAACTAAAGTTAAACTAATTTTATGATTTTTCTATGAGACAGAATAATCTTTTTTGTAGCCTGTACGTCATTAATAGTGACCCTGTAGATTAAAAAAAAAAAAAAAAAAAAACTTCACCGGAAAATGACATACGCCGTCGCATGTGAGTGACGTCAGAGTGACGCATAATTGTATAATCAGCCAACATGGCGGCCTCTATGAGACTGTTGGTCCGGAGGGTGATTCGTCTTTCCCAAAGAAACATTAACGTTACCGCTGCTGGAGTTTCGGCTCGGTCTGGTTGCTGCCAGGGACCGTCGTCTTGTCGTTGTTTTAGCGATGACAGAAGTACACACTTTGGCTTCGAGACGGTGCCAGAGGAAGAGAAAGCGAAGAGAGGTGAGTAGCAGCGGAGCTCCTCTCGGGAGGCGTAACGTTCAATCGCGTGAACAGAGCGTGAAAACAAACTTCATTCAGAAATCCTCCTATTTGAAACTTCGCTGCTTCTATGTAAATGTACACACCGTGAGAGAATTTGATTCTGGATGTTTTTGGGATCGTGAGGATTAGCTAAACAATTCGGCATCCAGTTGATCCACGAAGAGACTCTTGTGTTTCATTAAGACCTCTAAACGTTTTAAAGGTGATTCCTTCCTCTTTGTAACGTGTATTCAAGTGGGATTTGTACAAGTAGTACAAGTAGTTGTAGTATTTGGTGTGTTCTACACATGCCGAATTTAAAAGTAGTACGCGGTAGCTAGTATACCGTTTTGAACCATATTGTACCAACAAGGTTGTTTTCACAGGTTGTCAAGGGACAATAATTTGCCCTGTCTTTGTTTTCTCTACATGTGTGCATTGAGTGGCGCTGTTTTACATTTAAAATTGTGCATGTCATAATATAAAGGTTAACAAATGAGAGAAATACCCTGCACTTACAGGGACTTAAAACAAATACCCCTATAAACCATGTGCCTTTTGGTCAGGTAAGAATACAGACCCTGTTTGGGATAAGTGTGAATGGGGTTGTGCTTATATCTGGGTACGTTCAAATAAAATTCATATAACAGGAAAAAGAAAACACCCCGTCAACAGCTGCCAGTGAGACAGATGTTCTCTTTCTCTCTTCAGTGTATAAAGTGTTTGAGAATGTGGCCCAGAAGTATGACATTATGAATGATGCCATGAGTCTCGGGATTCATCGACTGTGGAAGGACACGCTGCTGCACGCCATGCACCCACAGCCTGGCGCGCGACTCCTGGATGTGGCGGGTGGAACAGGTAAAGTGGTTTGTATGTTCACCTCTGCAGAGCATCAAACTGAAACCCTCTCTGGTGTCACACTTCTATTTTGTGTGTGATTCTCCTCCCTCGCAGGTGACATAGCCTTCCGTTTCCTGGAGTACGTCCGTTCTCAGCAGGAGCGGCAAAAGCGGCGGGCGATGCGTTCCATGCAGACGCCGTCGTGGCAGGAAATTTCCAACAACTACTCCACAGAGGACGAGGATGGGCCCCAGGAATCCAGGGCCGTGGTCTGTGACATAAACAAGGAGATGCTGAAAGTGGGGAAGCAGAAAGCCGACAGCTTGGGCATCAGTGCAGGTAAGTCAGTGAAGCTCCAGGAGTCCACCAGGACTCCCGGCTTTTTCCTCCTCAACTAGGAGGTTATACACAGACCAGGTTTTTGGGGTTCTCCATTGACATTACTGTACATGTAAAGCTCTTATGGTCACAGACGCCTGGATAAGCCCTTATCCTTACTTTGAGTTGGACTGAAATAAACTGTGGCGCGTAGACACCTTCTCTAGCTTCCTGATCATTGTCTGCAGGGCTGTGTATCAAACCTCAACCCCCAAAGTATCAGCAACTGTCCAGAGCTGAAACCTGGCATTGATACCTTGGTCAGGTTCTTTGTTTTGTTTAGTTACTCTTTGATTAGATTCAAATTTTAGATGGTATATTGTTTCGGCAAAGTTCCTGTGTAACTGTTTTGTGTTAGGACAAAATAACACTGATGCTAATCACAAGAGTTTTGTGAAATAGAAGAAAGGCTTTGCAGAAAACCATGTTTATAAACCTTAAAGTAAGATATGAAGAAAGTACTGTGGTGAAACTCATCACATGTTGACTCCAATATTAAAAAATATTGTCATCAATCTGGAAAGGAGCATTTGACTCAGTTGACGTGGTCAGTTAGTCAGAAAAACAAGCTCTATGTTTGTAAACATTCATCATATTGGTAGTAGTGCCAACCAGACACCAGTCAGAATGGAGCAGATGGTGTTTGCTGTGGTCTTCACCCACTGGCACCCATAACATTTAGTACAGTAATCCAGGCAGCCAGGTACTAGAGTGGGTTCATATTCATCTGTGAGTGCCAGAATAAATAAATCAGCCTGGATATTAGGTCAGCTTATGTTCCATGAGAGCAACACCTCCAAATATGATCGAAGGCAAGACCAGGCTTATATCTAGGAGACGAGTGTGCAGTGAACTGAGCTGTGTTTACTGAGCTCAGGTGCAGCTGTGCAGTTGCAAACGCTGTGATTAGACTTGGACGTTCTGCATGAATATGAATGGAATTTGTGCAGACATTCATCTTCGAACATTCTTGAAATCATGCTCCTGGGTGCACAGACTGGAAGCACAGATACACAGAAACAAATAATTATAAGTGTGTCAGATTTCTGTGCAACCATGCATGACCAGAGCATAGTACACAGAGTTCATAATAACAAGTTTGCAAACTGGTATTGCAGCTACACATGCATGGAAACAGAGATTGATTACAAAGCATAAGATGGAATAAAAAACACCAGCAGACATTTTTGACTGTGAGCATACGTGTTTCTGTGTGTGTGTCCATGTGTATCAGGTCTGTCGTGGGTGGTGGGGGATGCAGAGGAGCTTCCCTTTGATGACGACCAGTTCGATATTTACACCATCGCCTTTGGCATTCGCAACGTCACTCATATAGATCAGGTAAGTGACAAGATGATTACACACACACAGTAATCACAATAAAGACAGGGTTATACTACAGCTGCGTGTTTAGTCACATCAGCAAATACAGCAGAAATTGATATTTGGAACAACCAGTGTGTCCGTTCTTGTCAGAGCGCGTTTTCCTTTGGACACTGAGCACTTCCTGCCTCATATGAGTATTGTCAACTCGTGTACTGTGATCTGGCTCAAAAAATATGTGTGGGAGAAAGAAATTCATAACAAACCTTAATGCAACATGTTGATTCAGATTCGTAAATTCTCATGTCAGTTACACCTATTTTTTTCATTTCATGCTTCATTATATTGATAGCTGTAACTAATGACAATTTTAGTTATTGATTAATCTGTCAGTTTATCTCTTCAGTGCATATAAAGTTTTGTGAGTCTGAGCTGATGTCTACAAATTACCCAGATCGCTTTACAATTAACTGAAGTGATTATTGAAATTGTTGTTGATGCTTAATTTTACATAGCATAGATGGACTAATCTATTGATTGATTGACAGTTTAATCCAGTGGTACTATATTGCAAATTATTTGTCAGCCCACATACAATACCTTCACCTGCCACCGGTGGGCACTGGTTTAAACACTGCTTGTTTTTTTGTTTTTTTCAGGCACTTCAAGAGGCTCTGCGGGTCCTGAAGCCCGGTGGCAGGTTCATGTGTTTAGAGTTCAGCAAAGTGACAAATCCCGTGTTGGCAAGGTAAGGAGGGAGAGTTCCCTCAGGATGGATGTCTTATGAATCCAGAAACATATTATAAGCTCTTGTAGAAGCTGATGATTTAATCAGATGCCAGTTTATTAGGTACACCTACTGTAGCAGAAACCAATGCAGTCTAATACAACAGTCCTGCAGTAAATCCTCCCCTATAATGTTCAGATTCACAGTGCACTTTGTGGTGCTGTTGAACTGTATTGCATTAACGTGACAGGTGTTATTATTGCTTTGTTCAACCTATCTTTATTAAATGAGACTAGACTCAATAACATAACAGAGACACCTCTCTGGATAATGCCGTAGCTTCACGAGGGTAGAATTTATTGCAGGAGTGCTTTAGTTTTAGCCAGATGTACCTAATAAACTGTGTTTTTATATACTGTTGTTGCCTGAGTGACTTTTGTGTGCAAGAATTCCAAAGAATCCGATATTGTGTCTTCCACAATCTGCAAATGTGAGAGGCTCAACTCACTTGCTTTTTGTAGTTTGGACCAACACTGCCCTCTTCTGGTTTTACACCATACAGTCATTCAGTAGATTGCCTGTTAAATGAGACCTGGCTGAGTAGTACTATAGAGTGGCGGGGGTGGCCAGAGACTCCACCCACTGATTATCTGTCCCTCAAGTACTTCTTAGTGAAATCACCTGTTGAGATGATCAGTTTGAATGAAAACCTGCAGACTGTTGGCACACAGTCAACCACCTCTACTGCACTGGGTCGATGAGGCTGCCTTTTAGGTGATTATTATTAAATAATTCTATAACTATATAAACTAGAGCTGTTTTTGCATGTGGAATTTAAGAGTTTGAAAAATAAGCACTAAATTTGTCCATGAGCTGTGTGTAAGATGTGGGACATGTTAAAGACTGACAGCAGGTTCCAGCTCTGAGAAAGCAGCTCTTGGCTCTGCTGGTAACCTGAATCTCATTCCATGTTTCAGGCTTTATGACGCATACAGTTTCCAGATGATTCCAGTTCTGGGAGAGGTGATTGCTGGAGACTGGAAGTCCTACCAGTATCTGGTGGAGAGTATCCGCAAGTTCCCTGACCAGGTGAGAAAAATGTCTCCCCAGTTCTGTCTCTGCTACTTTCGTCGTGGATATGATTTTATCTCTGTATTACGATTATCTCACATTATTTTTTTATTCCCCTTATGAACTTAAAAATCTTATTTTATGTTGCTGATCTGTTGATATCTTGTTCTGTACTTGAGATGCTTTTTTTACATTTACAAATGTTTTATGCTTTATTTTGCCACCAGCATCGCCACTAATGACTATTTTCATTATCGATTAATCAAAAAATGTTTCTATTAACTGATTATTTGTTCAGTCTATAACATGTGAGAAAACAATCACTATTTCATTATCAATTTATTCATGAATTATTTTATTTAGTCTATAAAAATCCTCACAGATAAAATCCGAAACCAGCAGCATCACTCAGTAGATTCAGTGTTGGTGAGTCATGTCATGTGCTGTGTTTCTCCTGCAGGAGGAGTTCAAACATATGATAGAAGACGCAGGTTTCTACTCCGTGCAGTACTACAACTTTACCGGCGGAGTTGTGGCTCTTCACTCTGGTTTCAAGCTGTGAGATCCACTGCGAACACGTCCCATCAAAAACAAAGAAACAAAAAGACTCACTGTGTTTCAGGCTTTTCTGTCTGTGTGACAGACTGACTGCATAGTTCTCACACATAAAGTACAGAGCATGAAGCCCAAGAGATCTGCTCTGCAGATGCCACTGCACAGTGACAGAAAATCAGAGGTCAGTGGACATATTTATTATAGTTTTTTCCTGTTTATCAAAAGTGTACTGAATAATGCTGTTGGCACTGGCAGAGTAAAAACTAGGTCTTCACTGTATCTGCAGCGTCAGCGTTCAGACAACTGTCGAGTCAGTTTAAACCATTTGAGTGCAGTTGGTTGTGAATATTTTTTGTAACATCTACATTTTGGAAATGGATAATAAAACCTGCAAAAGCTGATATTTGAATGAATTATTCCCGAAGCCGTGAAATGTTAAACTAATCATTACTACTAATGATAAAACTAGTAATAACTACTAACCTTTAGAAAGAAATCAGAAAACACTTCAATGTGGAGTGCAAATAATGGAAAGCAGAACACCACAACATGAGTTACTTGAATAAAACTGTATATTTTACAGATCTTTGTACACTTTAATTACAAAACTGTATGGTACTAAAGTTTTAAAATCAGTTTTTTGGTCAGAGAAGATTTAATCGTCTTGTGTGCAATTACCATGTATTTACAAAGTCTCATGTTAGTGATTTTTTTCTCAAAATAAAAAGCAACCAAATAACTCAAACGTTCATACACTCTGAACATAAGACATGGCTTAAAGATAAATATATTAGTAAATAAATATTCAGAGAACATATTTCCATTTATGAAATGTGTTTGCTATACAGGTACAGAAATATACACAGATTGATTTCTAGCCTTTAAACATTTGTAATGGTAATGACAGAAAATAATTATATTCTTAAAAAATTAAAAAATATTAATTTTTGTACACATTTTAATCTTCTTAAGTGCTAGAAACAATAACAAAAAAAAATTAAATAGTGACTCAAGTACCCCAAAATGTTATATTTGCAGTAGGTACATATCTCTATGCAAAAGGCAAGATTAGATTCTCATTTGATTACAGCACTGGGTTAACTTATAAATAGGGTTATTTCAGAAGGTTTTCCTCTGTGTAGAGAATGTGTATATTTCATAGAAACAGTATAAAAACAGTCTGCAGGACAAACAGAAAGGCATGAATGACAAGCACTGATATCGCAAGTATGTATTATGCACGGCACGATATGATTCAAACAGATACGTTGTGGTATGTATAACTGCATCGTTTAAAAAAAAAAAAAAAAAAAAGTCACAGTACAATAAGGAACCCTTATGAAATATGAGTCTTTTCCAGCTACTTTCCTTTGGCCTTTTGTTATATGCTAAAACCTTTTTTTTTTTAATAGATATTTATTAGCCTCATTGAGGAAATTGTTTAAGTGACAGCAAAAATACAGCTTTTAAGGGCTTCCAAACAAGTAGAGCACTACACTCTACTTCTGAAGAAATTTGTTTTGTTTTACCCAGAGACACTGTCACTTTGGTCTGGAGTTCAACCAAAAGCAGAGCAGTGTCTTTTTTTTTAGATATTGCTACAAAACAGCTTACCAGCCAGCATAAGGCTTTCATGTTGCTCTGGCACATCATCTCATACAGATAGGTAGGCCACTACTGGACAGAAATGCAATGCATCAAACAAATTCTGTATTTATATTGAATAGAGACCAGTGTCAGCCTTGCATTCACATTTCTATGCATTTTTTTCTGTTTTATATATATATATATCTTCTCCTCAGAGAAATGTGTGGGTCACAGACGCTTAGAAAGACCCATTTCCCTGCTCTTAAAAATGTTTAAAAAAACAAAACAAAACAATAACAATCATGTCTTTCTGTTTTGGTATAGCTATGTCCATACAACCTATTTGAGTTGGTGGTTGAAGCTTTATAGGCAGTCAGTGTTCATGTGCGCACATATACAAGATGTATACATGTAGATGCAGATGTTTGAATTAAGAGTGTACTTTTTTTTCTCAGATTCCAAGCTCTTGCACCAAAGATGGAGTCTAACTTGTAACTTGGAGGTAACTTGTTCTTGACAAAATCTGAAGAAATCTCAGCAGAAATGGGCCCGGACTACTTAGCGCTGAAGGGGCCTAACCCTCGATGACAGCAGACAGTTTCCAAATAGATGCCAATACCAACCTAAGTCCTTATTTCGTAGTATCACTTTTCTCTCAGTTGCTATGGAAGCGTAGTTTGGTGCTGAGACGTTCTGTGGCCACAGGAATGAACTTGATACACTGTATATCTAGAAATGACAGGCCATTTCAGTAGAAATCCACACAATCTAAGATGATAACATTCAGTGCTCAGAGAGCAAAGGTTAGAACAAGGCAACTGAGGGTTTCAATGATTGACTGACTGATGCGCTACCAAACACATACTTTAGACTGAGTCCCTTCTCTCTGGCTCATATACCCAGACCTCCCTCATTTGTTGATGTACTGCTTCCCAATGCAGTGGGGCCTGCAGAGAGCTGAGGGTGGAACAAAGCCCTGGTCTCCTCCTCCTGAGGGTATGGCTGAACTCTAAACTGTCCTGAGGTGAAGTACCCCTCCCTTGGCTCATGCCGCTCCCCTGTCCGCACCTCTGCCTCCACTGTGACACTGATGGGCAGTAAACTGCTCTGGGTATCTGCCCCTGTGCCCAATTCACAATCTGTGTCCTCAGGAATTATGGGTATCCTCTGGTTGAGTTCACAGCAGCCCTGTCCGTTGCAGGCCTCTGAGTCTGCGTGCGCATACTGCACGTTAACAGCGTAGTCCTCAGTGTAGCGCCCTGCTGTGGCCCTGTGGACCTTCATCTCTTTGTAGAAGCAGCAAGGCAGCCCCTCATAGCTCAGCTGCTCTGAAGAAGGGCACATGTGCTCAGGAGCAAAGTAGTTCTTGGAGGTGGAGCTCTGAAATTCCACCCCCCTGTGACATCGTCCCGAGGCCAGAGGCCCAGCTTGGTCCGAGTCCTGCCCTTTGCACTCCACATTGGGAGGAAGCACCTCAAAGCAGCAGCTACAGGCTGCAGCCCCAAGCTCCCCTGACTCCTCCTGCGCCCCTTTTCCCCTGTCTGCTCCGGTAGCCTCTGGAGCCCCGGCTGAGGTAGTGCTAGTGTTACTGTTCTCCCTGGGTTCCAGTGATGAGCGACTGCTGTAGTTGGGCTCCAAACTGCAGTTGGAGAGGTGGTCCCCCGAGTTATATCCCGAAGCTCCAGGAGGGAGCTGGAGGCAGTCATGTCCCAGGGGGGCAGAGGACGAGTCCTCAGCGGGAACTGAGGTGCAAGCTGCAGCCCCCGCTTCCCCTGCAGAGCCCCGACACGGACTCTTACTCCGGTAGACGTAAGGATCATAGTCACTGCTCAGTGAGCTGCGGAAGGTAGAGCAGCTGCCGTACACCCCCTGGTTGCTGACCTCAGTACAGTCCAACATTGAGTCGCTGGAGGAACAGTGGCACTGGCCTGAGCTGCTGCTGCTGCTGTCACTACCAGGGCAGTCAGCAAGGTAACCACTGCACACTGAGCGGTGGCCATGGTAACAGCTCAAGCCAGAAGTGCTGCCGGTATCACCTATCCTCGAAGACGAGGCAGGTGCCATGTGTACCACTGTGGGGTATAACAGCCCCTGCTGAAAGGCCCTGCTGTGGTGGCCCTTGTGGGCCGCTCCTCCACCAAGCTGCCCCGCCACCACAGGCCCTTGACCACCCTCAGGCTGTTGAGGGAAAGTCAACCCCTGAAAATAGTAGTGCTGGTACATAGTCTCGTACTGCGAGAAGCAGGCTGCGCGGGAAAAGTTGCGACCGTGGAACTTGGGTCGTTTAAAAGCAGCGTGATGCGGCTGTGCTGGGTAGGCTGGGGGGCCGCGGTGCTCTAATCCACAGTGATGGGGGTTGAGCGAGTGGTCCAGATGAAGGGTAGGGTGGTAGCTCCGGAGAAAGGCAGATGTTGATTGGGGTGGGTAGAGACCTTGAGGATCTGGATGCTGGTCCACAGTGAGCACGGTGATGGGGTTGCCATGGGGGTCCATGCTGGTTCTGGTTGGGTAGGCGGTCACCTGGCCAGCTCTGTGCACCCTGCCAGGATAATGAACAGGTAGCACCACCCGTTGCCGGCCGTGGACTGGGTTACCAGGGTCCATGCAGGCTGCTCCTGGATTTCCTTTCTTTTGCTCTGTGAAGAGACATAATGCAAAACTTTGAATCTCACTAAAGTAACATTATGTGTCACTTTTATATTTTTTTCCCCTTCAATGAAATAAGTGTTCTAAATGATAGTCTGAGGTTGTGGACCAACTCACCGATAATGTTGTGTCTGCAGTGGGGACAGGTGTGGTGCTGGAGCAGCCAGGGATCGACACATTTCTTATGAAATCTGTGAGCACAGGGGATAACCCGCAGCTCCTGTAGAGAAAACACAACAAAATCTTTAAGTCAGACTTTACCTGTATTGTTATCTATAAAGATGCAAATAACAATACATACAATAACCACAAATGATTAGGCTTCAAATTATTGTGTCAGATGTTGAGTATTTCTAATTATTATTTGCAATTTAAATAACTTCTTCCCTAAAAATTAGACATCTTCATGCTCCACAATGTCTTCTTACAGCAGGTGAACAAAAACAAACTTTCGGTACATGTACAAAAATTTTCTTTTAGCATTTTTCTTTCATTAAATTAATGGCAACAACCTGCAAATTTTTACTAATCTAATTTTTCATTCTGCCAATTAGTTACTTGCCTTACTATCAGTATACTATGACTTTTTTTTTGCCATACTACGTTATGACGTTTTTATGCCTTTTCATGCCTTACCATACTGTGACCTTTTTACAACTTTTTACGCCTTACTATACTGTGACATCTGATTCCTTATTATACTATACTCTGTTGTTCTATGACTTAGCATAGTATGATGTTTTTTGGCATTTTTATGCCATACTATACTATGACATTTTATGCCTTAATATACTATGATCTTTTTTTGACATTATATGCCATACTATACTATGACGTTTTTTTGACACTTTTATTCCATACTTAATCGTTTTTTGGTATTTTTGTGATTTACTATACTCTGTTGTTCTGTGCCCTAGCATAGTATGACGTTTTTTGGCATTTTTATGCCATGGTATACTATGATGTTTTTTTGACGTTTTATGCCATACTATGTTATGACATTTTTTATCAGTTTTATGACTTCCTATACTATGTTTTTGATGCCATAATATACTATGATGTTTTTTTGACATTTTATGCCATGGTATACTATGACGTTTTATGCCTTAGTGTACTATGTTGTTTTTACGACTTTTTATGCCTTAATAAACTATGACGCTTTTTGTCAGTTTTATACCTTCCTATACTATTTTATTTTTTGGCATTTTTATGACTTACTATACTCTGTTGTTGTATGCCTTAGCATACTATGTTGTATTTATGACTTTTTATGCCATAATAAACTATGATGTTTTTTTGACGTTTTATGCCATACTATACTATGACGTTTTTTGTCATTTTTATGGGTTACTATAATATACCATTTTTTGGCATTTTTATGACTTACTATTCTCTGTTGTTCTATGCCTTAGCATACTATGTTGTTTTTATGACTTTTTATGCCATAATATACTATGATGTTTTTTTGACATTTATGCCATACTATACTATGACGTGTTTTGTCAATTTCATGCCTTCCT